GGGGAGGGGAGAAAGCAAGCCTCCAGGTCTGGGACTTGAACCATTGTCAGAATGAGAAAACAAATCTTTTTTTTTTTTCTTTTTAAAAAGGTTTTGCTATAGGGCATATACTGGCCAGAGACAGAATGGGAATGAGAGGGACAGTGAGAAATCCCCCCTCCGGGGAGGGGATGGCCACACTGTCATCCCTTCTTCACTCTCCTCTCAGGATTTTGGGCACGTGCGCACACACATACCTGGTGTGCTTTTCAAGATGCCAGGTCTGGGACTCGAACTGCACAGCTGCCACGTGGGATCCAGTGCCTTAACCTCCATGCTACCTGCTGGCCTGTTAAGTCATTTTTTAGGTTTATTTCTCTCAAACCAGCCAGTGGCCCCAGAAAATCTTTCATAATATATCCCACATGGCCAACTCCACGGCTCAAATCCCAGACCTGGAGGCTTGAAAAACACAGTAGGCGGGGCCAGCGAGTGGCACAGTGGTTAAGACGCTGGACTCCCATGAAATGGGCCACGGTTTGAGTCTCGAACATGGCAGCTTAAAACTCACGCTGGGTGCATGTGTGTGCATGCCCAGAATCCTGAGAGGAGAATGGAGGAGAAGGGATTGTGGCGTGGCCATCCCCCTGGGGGGGTGATTTTTTGCTTTCTGTCTCTCTCTGTCTCTGGTGAGCTCATGTGCCCTATAACAAAAATTTCTCTAAAAGAAAGGAAAGAAAAGAAAACCATACTAGGCACCTGTGTGTGCATGCCCAGAGTCCCAAGAGAATAATGGAGAAGGGATGTTGGCATGGCCATGCCCCCTGGGGCTGATTTCTCACTTTCCCTCTCTGTCTTTGTCTCTCTAGCAAGTGCACGTGCCCTATGACAAAAATCTAAAGAAAGAAAGAAAGAATGAAAGAAAGAAAGAAAGAAAGAAAGAAAGAAAGAAAGAAAGAAAGAAGAGTTTGCAAAAAGATACACAATCCAGCCTTGTAGTGCAGCGCTTAAGCGTTATGCAACAGGGAGCCAGAAGCCACATGGCTGACGGAGGTTCAAATCCTGGCCCTGACAGCTTGAAAAACATACTGGGCATTTGCACATGTGTGACTGATGACGAGATGCCAAGAAGGGATTGCAGCGTGAATATCCCCCATCGGAGAGTGCTTTCCTCCCTCTCTCTCTCTCCCATATGTAATCTCTGGTCACAGACAACAAACAGATGAAAGATTTAGAACAAAAAACACAGATACACAAAAGAGATAAACAATGTAAAACATTTCATTCAGATAAAATTCTATAAAGTAAAATGAAAATGAAAACTAAAGAGAAAAAGCAATAAAGTTTCTGATTGGTTAAAGTGCTTGTTCCTGTAGTTGTGTTTTTTTTGGGGGGGGGGAAGTAAACTTTATTTAAACCTTACACTTTTTTTTTTAAATAAAGTTTTTTTTTTTTTTTTTTGGAGAGGTTTTTGGTATAGGGCGCATGCGTTCACCAGACAGACAGAGAAATAGAAAGCGAGAAATCACCCGGGGGGGGAGGGGGGGGGGATGTCCACGCCCATAATCCCTTCTCCTCCAGGCCTGAGTTTAAGCCACCGGGTCCGGGACTTGAACCTCGCTCGATTACATAGGAGCCCAGCAACAAAGCCGTTACAACTGCTGGTCCCTGGAAGTAAACTCTTATTTCCACTTTACCAACACGAGCTTTATAAAAAGCGAGCAGGACTACAAGATGGGTGCGCTGGTAACCAGACCTCTCGACGCTGTCCTTGAAGGTGACACGCCGCGCGGCTCCTGGCGGAAGCGGCAAGACGCAGGGTCCAGGGCTTTGATCTGGCCACACGCTGCTCCTCAAAGGCTTGCGCGGCACGTCCTGTACGCCCCCGGACCGTGGCGAAGGTGGCGGTCCCGCGGCGGTGGAGCCGG